ACGATTTTATGGCTTCTATGATAAAAGTTCGGGAAGGACTGCAAATGATTTATTTGATTTTTTATTAAACAAATTTCAGCGCTTTAATTATATTACTAAATTTATTGCATAGACTTGGCTGTAAAGGCGGGACATATATGAGTAAATGGGCTTTAAACTCAAGTATAATCTGTTGCCCCCCCTTCAGGCAATTTTCACTCATTGTTATGTCCATAACATGAATTTGGTTTTAAGTAACACTTATAATTCTGATAAGGAAGTAAGATTTTTTTTTTAATTTAACTAAACTAATTAAGATACGATGAAAAAACTTAAGATTTATTAATTCTTTATTAATTTAAAAACAAATTAAGCCCCAAATTCGAGCTCTTACTCAATTATTTATTTAATTAAGAGCATTTATTTATGTATAAAAAAGAACTATCACGAAATTTATTTACAGCTAAAGGTAATTATAGAATTCGATAAAAATACAGGGTGTCCGTAAAAGGTCTTTACAAAAACATACCACATATTCCTTAGACCAAAATAAGTCGATTTAAGTAAAATTACCTTAGTACAAAGTTGCTTCGTTTGGGCTCCAGAGGGCCTTGAAGTTACAATTTTTAAATCGTTTTTCCCATATAAATTTAAAACGGCATATGCGATTTTGCTGAAATTTGGTATATTGGTAGATTTTTATGTGGCAAAAAATATGGTATTAAAATTTTGTTCGATAATAATACATAGGCGTAGAACTTGATTTTTTAAATAATTGCACCTTTAAAAATTCTACGCCAATGGAAGAAAAGGAGTTTGAGTATGAAATTTAGATTGCGCAACTCATTTACTTTAAAAAAGGTACTCTTGATAAGACTCGATTACTCTCATGGTTTTGACGAAATTTGCATTTTAGTAATTTTAAACAATAATTATTAAAATACAAACTTTGTCAAAACCATGAGAGTAAATCGAGTGTTATCAAGGGTACTTTTTTGTAGTAAATGAGTACCCAATCCAAATTTCATACTCAAACCCCTTTTTTGCCATTGGCGTAGAATTTTTAAAGGTGCAATTATTTAAAAAATCAAGTTCTACGCCTATGTATTATTATCGGACAAAATTTTATACGATGAAAAACAAAAATGTACTTTTTTCATACCTCTAATCGAGACTTTTAACAAAAATACTCGATTCTTGCCCTGTACGATTTTTTGAGGAATATTAATTATTTGCCTGCAATACTTATACAAAAACATTTATTGTTGGTTTCCATAGTTTCATCTAAATAAAAATATTGTCAAGTTTTAACACCTAATCTCTTGTTAACGTTTGAAAGTGTTCTATCTGACTCAATAATTAAAAAAAATATGCGTGGTTTATTAATATGGCTGTACAATATACCAATGCAGAATATACCGATATGTTACTGACATTAGGATTTTGTGAAGGAAATGCTCGAGAGAGTGTCAGGGTGTACTCTGAAAGGTTTCCAAATCGTCGTGTACCTAGCCACCCAACTTTTGCTGCTGTTGAGAGACGTCTTCGGGAGACCGGTTCCTTTCTCCCAACACTGTTGATAATGGAAGAGAACGTTTTGTAAGGATTCCTGAAGTTGAAGAAGACATTTTAGAACGTGTTGAAGAAGATCTAGAATTAAGCACCAGACGAATTGGAAGGGAACTAGGAGTAAGTAAAGATGTCGTTCATAAAGTGCTTAAAGAACAATTGCTATATCCATACCATAAGAAGCCAGTACAAGAATTATTAGTCCATGATCCTCAAATTCGTTTGGGTTTTTGTCGATTTGTTAATATGCAAAGAGAAAGAGATTCAAACTTTGTCAAGAAGGTTCTCTTTACCGATGAAGCGGGTTTTACAAGAAGAGGTATAACTAATACCCATAATGAACATGTTTATGCCGTTGAAAATCCGCATGCAATAAAGGTAAACCATTTTTAGCACGAATTCAAAATTAATGTGTGGGCTGGAATAATTGGTAATTTCATTGTTGGTCCTGTCATACTTCCACGAAGATTAACTGGAGAAAATTATTTGGATTTTCTACAAAATACGTTGCCAGAATTGTTAGAAGATTTACCTCTCCAACTTCGGAGAGATATGTGGTTTATGCAAGATTTTTCTTTAAACGTTAGAAACCACTTGAATGAACAACATCCACACAAATAGATAGGCAGAGGTAATGACGCACCTGTAAACTGGCCACCACGTTCCCCAGACCTAACACCGATGGATTGCTTTTTATGGGGACATCTGAAATCCACAGTTTTCAGGGAACATGTAGAAAATGAGGAACAACTCTGGCAACGTATTCAAGATGCAATAAACAATCTTAGAGGTGATGAAGAAGTTATGGAAAGGATATATTTTAAATTTCTTTGACGTATAAATCTTTGTATGCGTGAAAATGGTGAACATTTTGAACAATTTTTGTAAAATCTCTATTTTGATTATGTTGTAAATAAATATTTTTGTGAAACCTATACACTCTAAATTATTAAAACAGAAATTTAGCGAAAACCATGAGAGTAATCGAGTCTTATGAAGAGTACCTTTTTTAAAGTAAATAATTTGCGCAATCTAAATTTCATACTCAAACTCCTTTTCTTCTATTGGCGTAGAATTTTTAAAGGTGCAATTATTTAAAAAATCAAGTTTTACGCCTATGTATTATTATCGGACAAAATTTTAATACCATTTTTTTGCCACATAATACTCTACCAATAAACCAAATTTCAGCAAAATCGCATATGCCGTTTTAAATTTATATGGGAAAAACGATTTAAAAATTGTAACATCAAGGCCCTCTGGAGCCCAAACGAAGCAACTTTGTACTAAGGTAATTTTACTTAAATCGACTTATTTTGGTCTAATATGTGGTATGTTTTTGTAAAGACCTTTTAAAGATAATTTTTTTTTCTCAAAAAATAATACAATGATTTTGTTTCATCATGTAGAAAAATAAACAAAAATATAAAAAAAAATTAATTGTTTATAACAAATTGTTTATTAAATAAACAGTGAAAATTTAAATAAAAACAATTATTTTTAGTTATTAAAGAGCAAGATAAATTATGATTTAAAAAAGATGGTTCTTTAATAATAATTAAATAAAAATTGTTAATAAATCCGTTATTAAGCAATAAATTTTTTTAAGGAACGATTTTTTTTTAAATCATAATTTGCATCTAAGATAAGGTTTCACAAAAAAAAAATAATTAAATTATCTTACAAACAACGCATTTGTTTATAATAAATTTTTTAAACAGTAGGAAATAAAAATTTTTAAAAATCATTTTCATGTGGCTTCTGATGATAAACAAACAGATCAATAGAAATATAAATAAAAAAAAAAATTCAATGATTAATCAAGATTTTCAATTTTTAACCTAAGTAAATTGTTAATAACAAAATGAAAAATAACAATTTTTTTAATTTTTCCAACGGGAATCTCTTCTGAGACCGTTCAGAAATTGCTCTAAAAGAGGAATAGTAGTTTGTGCAATAAGAGTGGATATGATGGCCATAATGTGCTATAATAAAGCCAAGAACTTGTTTTTTTATGTTTTATCTTTCTTTTTTTTTTAGTTTGATAAGTTCAAAGATGATATCAAATCAATAACAATGACTATCGGCAGCTGTCATTTAGCTGTCAACAATTCTTCAAAGTCCGGTAATAAAGTCAAAAAATAATTTTTTGTTTATAACTTCAAGTTTTTTTAGAAAAGTGAATATATATATATGATATAAAATTATGTAGTCATCAGCCTACAGCTGTCAACAAGCTATTAACTAACTGTCAAAATGCAATAATAGAGCAAGTAACTTATTTTTTGTGCTTAACTTTGTGGATAAGAAATCAAAATAGTCAACAAAAAAACTTAGGACAATTTAACCCTAATACCCTCCCCTAATTTACCCACCTATGAAGATGATCAAAAACTGGCGTTTAGATCATTAAATAAAGCGTAAAAAGTTTTTCATTTGTACCAAATTTCATTTAGTTATCTTTAAAAATTTAAAAAATATTTACAAAAATGTGTCATCAGGACTTCACTTTTAACACCCTGTATCTCGGAAACAAAACGTTTTCGGACATAAGTTTATATAAACTTTTCCTCATATATTACGCTGTGAAAACATGACCGTCTAATTTCGGGAGACCCTGTATGTTATGGATACTGTTTAATAAGAATAATTTAATTGCGATTTTTTTCTATTAAAAAAAAAATATTTTATTTGATATTAATATTCTATTTTTTAGAGCTGTTTTTCTATTTTTTTTTATATTTCTTAAAAAAACGCAAAATTAATCCTTTTTTTAAATTTTGGATAAATATGCAATTTAACAAAAAAATTTATATTTTTAATGTTATTCAGTATGTTTTTTTAGGTTAACAGGTTTATCAAAAATGCTTTTTTTAACGTTATTTAAGTTACACATTTTTTATTTTAATAATAATAACTAATTCTTTTTTTAAATTTTGGATAAATAAAATATGCAATTTAACAAAAATTAAGTAATGCTAAAGATATTTTAAAAAATACTGGTTAATATGAATGATTTAGTTTTGATTTTTTTCTATTAAAAATAATTTTATTTTAAATTAATCTTCTATTTTTTAGAACTATTTTTCTAAATTCATTTTTTTTACGCAAAACTCCTTTTTTTATAATTTAGAATAAATAAAATATAATGCAACTTAACAAAAATTAAATTAATAAAAACTAAAAATTTAAATTGTTCATTGTGAAAAATTTAAATTAATAAATAAATAAAATAAAATCCTGCACCAAACCACTATAAATAACACTCCACAAATTAAAAAAAAACTCCATACCAATAGTAGAAATAGCCCGAAAATTTTCTCCACTTCAAAACACAGTCCTTTACTTCCTAGTACAAAACAAACAAAACACTTTTTCTTATTTAAAAAATCACCAAAAAAACTACCGAAATAGAAAATCCAAATCTTCCGAAGCAGAAGAACTTGACTTACCTACTACGCGCAAACCAAAGAGTAGGTCAAATGTACCCGAACGGGTGTATAACACTTTTAGTTCAAAGAACTCGGTCAAATTGAAGAGCTATGACCTGGTATGACCGAAGGACATGGAAATCGTTCATGAATTACTCCTCTTCCTCGTATCAGTTTTACTTCTTATACTCCGCGTGACGTCACGTAATAAGCGGCGGTCGGGACGTTCAAACTATTGCCACCACTTAATCGGACGGTGGTGCGGGGTTTTCGAATTTTTTCATTTTTGAATCGGAAATTTGCCGACAGATATCACTAGCTGTTGGTTGTAAAGACGGGAAATCGATGAAAAGAAAAATAAGTAACTTTTTTATTATTTATAAAAAAGTATCAAACCAATTTTATGGGAGTTTTACAGCACAGATGATTCAAAGAAAATCTGTGATTTTAAACAGCCGGCAGTTAAAAGGTGTAGTGAACTTTAGAATTTTACCTGTGCCGGCCGGTTTTATGGAACGTAACAATGAGCTACCCTTTTTTTAATCTCTTTTAAAACTCTGATGAGCGCACGGTTGGGTAAATTAGGGGGTATTTGTTTGTATTATTATTTTTTTAATTACTATTTTAAACTTAAATAATTGTAATTTAACCGCCGGAGTGTTTGGTATTAGATCAGTCCCCTCGCCACTTACTCCTGAAAAAAAATATTTTTTGGTTAATTTTTTGTTTTTTGTTCCTTTGATGATAACATATCAACAACTTTTTTTACCACTTTTTTGACATGCTCCGATTTTGCTTGCGTTTTTGCAGTCTTGAACGCTTTTGGGCTTTGTTTGGTGGTTTAGTTTCTGGCAGCATTAATTGGGTGGTTTCAACGACGCGCCGTTTAACCCTAATCCTTTTTTACTAATATGATTATAACATTTAGATATAAAATAGATATGCTTACCTACTCTCGAAGATCAAGAAACGTGCAAGTCTCTGAATTACTATATTCACTTGATGAGTCATTATTTACTGATATTATTAAAGGTGGCACTTTGGTATCGACATCCAAGATTTTTTCAAGAGTCCACATGTTTTCTTCTTCTTTTAACACATGCTCAATTGCCTTTTGGTAATTTCGTTTCGCAACAAGTGATATGGAGGTTTCTAACAATGCTTCTACACCTTCAATCCTGTAGATAATCCTTCCAAAAGAGCCTCTCGTGTAGATTGAATGTTTGTGTCCTGCCACATTTTGCTAACCCAGGTTTCATCCAAATAAAATATTGTTTGCCTTCTGCACGTAATTTAAATATAATTCTAAGGTATCTCTGTCTTCAACAAACAATTTCCTTAGAATCGATAAGTGCTGCTTTCCTGTCCTGTTTATCCCACTTGAACTTCAAATATATTAGTTTCCCGTAGTTTTGTCTTTCCCATTTTAGAAAAATATGGATCACTATTGTTTGCGACCAAAACCTTGGCAAGTGTTGGTATCTGTTTTTCTTAATAAAATTCGTGAACTTTTCTTTTTATTCCACTTTTAATTTGTTCAGTAAATTCCACTTTTTTCTTACCTCCTGCAGCAGGGGCTTTCCCCAGGGAGGAGTACTATCATTCCTCCTCTGGTCAGTCCTAGTGGACAAACTCGTAAAAAAGCTAATATATGCCTAGGGTATGCCGATGACCTGGTGATCGTCGTAAGAGGAAAGTTCGCAAGTACAATATCGGAGCGCACACAAACCGCTCTAAACATTGTTGACGAGTGATGCAAAGAGGAACTAACTAACAGTAAACCCTCACAAAACCACAATAGTCAACTTTACAAATCGAAAAGTAACAACAAGACTAAAGTCACCAGTACTGAAAGGAGTGAAGATTCCATTTGCCAAATACTTGGGAGCCATCTTTGACCACAGGTTAACATAGAATCAATACTTGCAAAAAGTCATCCGAAAGAGCACAACATCCTTCAACTTATGTAGAAAGTTGTGTGAAAAAAATTAGGAACTTCAACCGAAAATATCTCTATGGTTATATGCCAGAGTCATAAGGCCGATGATAACCTACGGGTCGGTGGTATGGTGGCTAAATATTTGGCAAGCTGGGTCCATTCGACATTTCAATGGCAAGCATGCCTGCGTACCACTGTAGCTATGAGAATGACTCCAACAGCAGCTATAGAAGTTATGCTAAACCTAACAACACTACATATATTCATTCAAGGCGAAGCCAGGTCTGTCACATACAGACCGCACAAAGGTTCATCACCCATAAGCACTTTGCATGGACGCGACTACAGCGAGCTATATACAGAGTTGTAAAACGACCAAATAATGGGAAAGCCTTCAGATGAAATGCTCCCAAAGTATAGCTTCTTTTAAAAGCAATATAAAGTAAGTATACCAGACAAGGGAGCGTAGATATGAGGACCTAATATTCATGCAGAATTCACCTGGTATACAGACGGCTCCAAAACCCATAAAAGTTCAGGAGTAAGTATATACCCAGCTAGCACATAACGTTGCCAAGCCTTTCGGCGATGTTGCATTAAGGGAACGTAATAACATTACTGTACAACGTAAATGCAACGTTCATGAGAAGTTGTTAAGGGAAATCAAAACCTCGCAAAACTTCTATTTGTTATTTACCTAGTTAACCTACCGTAAACATTACCACAACATTACAAATCTGAATTCAGAACGTTTAGTTTTATGTCAATTGTCACTTGTCAGTTTTTCTTGTCAATTGTCTTTTTTAATGGTTTATTTTTCGACATCCAGAATTTATTTTATAAATAATTATTATTTATACATTCGAATAGATTTGGTAAGGGTCCTCTATAAAATAGACAACTATTTTCTAAACCATTGTCTTTGTTTCAGATTACAATGCCTGATGTAAATTTATTATTTCATTCATTAAGTATCTTTAGCAGTCGATGCCGATGACACCAAATAAAAATCAGGCAGATCAATCGTTGTAAACCAGAAGATAAACATTTAACCGAATGTCCGGCAACATTTTACACCAAATACTTATAAAAGGTAATTATACTTTATCGAACTAAAAATACATTTTAAAAATATTATTTTTTAGGTTTCCTTCGACATTCTAGGAATTTTAGAAGCAAAAGTAAATACTACAGAAGTGTAAAGAAGAATATAACACCTGAAGTTTTATAAAAAGTGAATCTATAGGTACATGATATGTCAGGTATATCAGAATTCAAGCAGTTCATTCTCTTCAACAGGCTAGATTGCCTGGAAATGCAACCATCAGTTCAAGTGAAAACCCAGCAGAAAAGTTGAGAGAAATCATAGATGATACTCTCGAGTATAATAGAATATCTTGCTAAAAAACACCAGTTGTTTTTTATAAAATCTACATATCGATGGCTCAATCAAATACTGCCATAACTAAAATACTATTATTTCGAGAAATTTTATTTTGAAATTTTGTAAGTCTCTATTGTCATTATTTTGTTTTTGACATACTCTTTATATTTTATTTAAAAGCTTCGATATTTGGCGAAAATAACTCGAATTGAGGCAGTTTTAGACACAGTTTGTGGCTACATTTTAAATGATTTATCTTTAAGGATATTTTTGTTTGTGGTGGTATTTAAAGTAAAACCGTAATGATATTTTGCATCCATTGAACCGAAAATGTAATTGCTTTGTTTTAGTTCTAGTAATCTAATATAATAATATGTACCTAGTCATTGTTGTATTCGTTTATTATTTTTCACCAATCTAGCTTTATCATCGTTCACCATTTAAGGTTTTAGTGAACCTTTGCAATATTGGTACCTTATTATATTTAGCTAATTTTGTCCAATCGTTCAGTGCTTTCTAGGTAGCTTCTTCTATCCCACATGTGTACTTTTGTTTGTGATATAAGGTGTGTTCTTTTATTCAATAATTGTTCCATCAGTGATTGATGTAATTTATCTATTCTGCAGTCGTTTTATATTTGAACTCTTATATTTTAGGTTAACTTAAATGATTGATTATCCTCACCATTCGTCTATCACATATCAATCGGCTTTTAAAGCCGATGGATGCCTTGGCTCATTGGTGAACTCACCGCTGGAAAAAAGAATGATTGACACATACAATCGTCTTTCCATCACTTAATTTACGAACGGTTTGCTGCAAGCGCTGGATACAGCACTGAATAAAAGAACACGCCTACATCTACCTCTACTTTTGTGCTATTGGTACTTGATTTCAAGAACATTTTAATAATAAATTTATATAAATATTTTGTTTTATTTGAAATTTTCATGTCTCGATTGAGATTTTACTATAGCCTCAATTTCAGCCTCTCTGTATTACATTACACAATGTGTGTCCACGGATGGACTTAATTATACTTGTAAAAATATTTATTTTAAATTAAAGAAAAAGTTATTTTTCATAATTTCTCAATGTGAATCGAATTTATTTAACAAGCAAGAAATTATGAAGAATTACTTTTTTAATTTAAAATAAATATTTTCACAAGTACAGTTAAGCCCATCCGTGGACACACTATATAATGCTGTAGATCTAATTCACATTATAACATCAATAGAACGTTTCAGAGCAACTTTCGGGGTAAGTACCGTAAAAGTGCTAGTGTGATGTTTTTCGAACTTCACTTTATAACTTCTGTGAGATGTGCTATAAAAGTCTTGCCGTTGCGGACATTCAGTAGTTGCAGGGAGATAAGGGTTACATTTACACTACATTACATGCGAGCTTAAAGAGCCTAAAATTGCAGCTTATTAACGTAGATGGGATGTTTTTGTGCTAGCTGGGTATAGTACCAAGTTAAAGACAAGAATCTCACTGAGCTTAGGTAAACAGGCGACAGTATTCCAGGCAGAATGCATCAGTGGGCAAAAGAGGTATTAAGACAGAAGGTAAATGGAAAACCATTGTCAAGCGACGTTAAAAGCACTTAGTTCCATGCAGGTACACTCAAAGCTTGTGTGGGACTGTTTGGAAGCCTCAACAGAGCTGGGTAGTCAAAATAGACTAACCTTAGGCTGGGTACCAGGCCACAGAGACATAAGGGCAATGAAGAGGCTAATTTACTAGCCCGAGAAGGAGCCTCAAATGCTTTTATTGGCCCAGAACCCTTCTGTGATGTAACAAAAACAACTATCAGAACAGGCACAAAGCAGTGAATGTTTAAAAAATTTCAGGAGTGGTGGAAAAACTCACCAGGACAGAGATAGGC